ATCACATTTATAAAGCTGCCTGACTGAGAAAAACACATCAGTAACATGAGGTTGTATTTGAAGCTGTCACCTGTCAAATATAGTTTGACATGCTACTGCATACTTATATTACACAGTGCAAATTATCTGGATACTTGTTCATTCCTTTATGCATACATGGTCTGATATCATAATTTCAGATTCCAGGAAATATTGTTCTGCAAAATTATGTCTGGTGCTTTCTTTCTAGAAGTAAACGAGGCAGTTATATTCAACATATAGGAGGGAGAGATATTTTGTTAATATTTTTATAAAATTAACCTCAAAAATTTATACTGAGAATGGAAAAGTTTACTCCAATTTGGAGTACTGGGACACAAATTCTTCATGTTATGTGGTAAACGACTTCATACGCAGTGATGTCTGTCTCATAGTTCAGTACATATTTGCAATTAAAATAGGGTTTCTTCTTTGAAAGACCCTACATATATTTTTATTGGTTTGTTATGAGCATTAAAAAGTAGAATTTTTTATCTGTTTGTAGGTTTTCCTAAGCATGTTCTTCCCCTGGCTTTGTATTTACTAGTTCAGGCTGAGGGTATCAGAACTCTTTCATTGCACAGTTTTTCTCAGTTTTTAAATAGCATCTTATTATTAGTGAAAGTTGAAAATCTGACTTTCTTATTTTATTTCTCTCAGTCCTGATACACTGTGCTTCTCTCACTCTAGGAACTGCATTACAAATTTGATTTATGATAGCCAAGATTTTTATCTGACCTACATATCGGCATTAAAATTTTGACCAACCAAAATTGTACATGCTGAACAATTGCCTCTTATTTCAGCCATTTTATATAACTGCAAAGCAAAATAATTAAAAGGACAAAAGACTCACCTCCAGTAACTTGTTTCCACCCAGAAAATTTGATCCTGCTCATTGCAGAAAATGAGTTTAATTTTTATGGAGTTCTTAGGTAATTCATTAGATAAGTCATCTTCTCAAAGAATTGTAGCTACACGTAGTTTGTTTTTTACTGACTTTGTGTAATGTTTTCACTATCAATCAATATGTTATGAGTATTGGTTCATGCTGATTTATCTGTGTTTTCAAATAGCAAGTTACATGTAAAACTATATTAATTACTGAACAGCCTTCTTCTTTTCATTCATTCATTCATTTATTTCAAATTCAGTAAATCCAAAACATAGGTTGAAATACAACCCTGGATATAGAACATGTCAATAATAATATTAAAATAAGTTCCAAACATTGAAACAGTCAAGATAAACAATAAAAACGATATAAAATAGTGCACAGTGTAAATAAAAATCATTGTATTCTCCAGGTTTGTCATTGTAGGGTTTCATTATTTTGTGTTGAATAATATTTACATGAATCGAATCTTAAATACAGAATTTAGTTAAATTTCACGTTTTAAATACCCTTTTTTATATACCAACATCAGAACTTTCTTTAAACTGTCACAGGGTGAATTATTATACCATACAGTATTAAGAACTTCTGTAAATCTTTTAATAAAATTTTGTCTGAATATTTATATTATGTAGGTCTCAGTTTATCTTGTCTAATGAACCTGTCCTCTTTTCAGGATTTTTAGAACAATATTTATCATATTCCTTTGAAATTCTTTATTATGAGTGTGATGATACTCATATGCAGTTCCATTTTACACGTTCCTGTGAATGAATATTTCTTAAATTTTTATGATTAGTAATTTATAAATCTAACCAGCTTCTCTTCCTACTTCTTTATTTTTATCTCGAATATCATTACCTTTGCATATTCAAATTTCCTCTGTCTGCCTGCCTAAGTATTTTAAGACTGGCAATAATAAAATTACCTGGTATACTGATGTTACTAATATTTATCTTGGCTACTGTTGTTTTGCAAGTAGTTGCAAATAATTATTTTTCCTTCACTTGTCTGACAATCACTGGTATTAGTACTATTGAGAGAATGTGTGTGTGTGTGTTGTGTGTGTGTGTGTGGGGGGGGGGGGGGNGCGTGCTTGCAATTACAAAATATCATAACTATATATCAGAAGACTTAAATGAATACTTGCAAGGTGCATAGATTTAGTGGCACTTGGGAAGTGGAATTTGACCATGCCCATGCATTTAGAATCAGGTGAACCTCTTTATCTTCAAGTTGCCTGATTTAATATGAAATATTATTAATTATTAATCTTTATGATAAAATCTAAAAATAGACAAAAATTATAAAAATGAAAGAGATGCTATTATAAGAGGTGACTTAAAAATTTATCCAGAACCTTTCATGACAACCCATAGCTACATTCAGCCTCCCAGAAACATTGTCACTATGCTGGTGGTTCTTGATATTATAACTATTGTTTATAGAACTTTAAAAATTCCTGTATCACCTGTAAAGTTGATGTAGAAAAATAACTTTAACAAAACTCAATAATACATATATTTAATTTCAAAGATAAAAGAATGAGATTCAGATTGCTGAGCAACTTGCCCTCTTTTCTAATTCTTTGCATATTTTAAATACCATTTTGCACTAGAGGCTCCTTATTCTGAATACCCCTTTTAGTAAGGTGACACCTGTAACTTGATTTCCCAACATTAATTACTATGTCTTAGAAATTTATACAGTGTAATTAGTAGCACTGGCGGCCTCCGTAGTCTAGGGGTAACATTCCCACCTCATGACTCAAGGTACGCGTTTTCAAACCCGGCGGAGGTCGTGGAATTTTTAAGGGCGGAAAAATTCAGGGAACAAGTCCTCCGGGAGGGACTTTAAGCCGTGGGTCCCGTGTCGTAGATTTATGGCACGTAAAAGATCCTCATGTCTAGGAGACCTCTGAGCAAAATTAGGAAAAATGTTTCCCGCCCAAGTAGTTTCCAATGTCTCTGGTAGATGAGGAAGTTATCGAGTACCAATGCCAATAGAGGGCCGACCTCGCTGGCAGAAAGGGGAGAGTTATCGGGTACCACTGCCAGTAGAGGGCCGACCTCGCTGGCAGAAAGGGGAGATAGTGGGCACCAGTATTGGTAGGGTATGGCGACAGTAGAAATTAAAGGAGGACGTACAATAGACTATTAGTCGTGGTGCATGGGGAAACCCACCCCCTCTGTACTGAATAACTGAATAGTAGCACTATATTTCAACAGTATACAAATTCTCCTATTATCAGTTTAAAACTGCTGCAACATAATCAGTTATACCTTATAATAAGAATGTTTTCTCTTGCAGTTTTCATTTCCTAGGGCTTAGTCTCAATTCCACATTATTTAAACAATTATGTACAAGTACATCATATCAAATCTGGATAAATTTCTCAGTAGAATGTTTATTAAAGTTAGTTACTTCAGGTCATGCCTGTAAAATTATGGAACTAAATCTTTATGTTACCCATGAGCAGTTTTGAGCCATATATGCCAGTTACCTCATCCCAACTGCATTTTATTCTAAACCTTAAGGGCCTCTTACACCTGGACACAATTTGTTAGGCTGTAGCTGCAGAACTGTAAGTTTTCTAAATTAAACTGAAGACAGAAAAATGCAAAATTGATCCTTGGTACATTGCAGTTCTTGACTGATTGCCCCTTCTGTTCTTTGTTGTTTAATCTCTGTTAATTTTTATTTCTGAACTTCTGTATATTTGGTATATAGTAGGAGTATCTGAGCTGTGACCATATTAAGGGAAGTGCTGTTTTCTTATTCAGGCTCCTTATATAAAATATGAGATGCAAAATTGTATATTTGACCTGCTTATATTACAATGAAACTGATATTTTGAATTTCCATTTCCTCTCAATGTACATTCTGTTATACAAAGCTTTATGATGAAAGCACACACATATCTAATACTCAGTTCACTTAACTTGAATTTTATGATACATGGAGGTGCTCAAAAGATGTACAGAATTATTATATAACGCTTAAAATTATTTTTTAACAAAACTCTTATAATAAGTTTATATATTGCCACCAATTAACATGTCTATTTTCTCAACAGGAACGTCCCAAAGCCAGCGTTACATACATTTATTAGAAGAAGCAAACTGGCATAGAAAGAAGTTGTAGGTATAACTTCCTCTACTCTACCTTGGTTGATTAGGTTGGAACTATTTCATGGCAATTAACATTAAATGAGGCAGCAGTGTTTGATCCTTGTACATACCTTTTGAGCACCTGTATGATATCATTTATCTTATGGCACTTCTACTTGCCGTGTTGTATTTGCATGAGTATGTGCTTCTTTGTTCAGTGATATCATGTTATTGGAGAGTAGAGTAATAGCTTTGAAGAGAATTGAAACTAATCATTGCTGTTTGATGTGAAGTGCCTCTGTTGCATGTCAGTTGTGTGTTGTAGTTCACTATAATCATCGTTTACTACAATCATTGCCCAAGCAAATGAAGTAAAGTTCAACTTAACTTTACATTGAGAACAGTGTAACAGTGTAGATATCAATTATAATTGATACACTGCCAATAAGAATTCAGAATTGCTTACTCCACATTGTGAAATTAAAGAACTATTATAGCATTTAATGGCCATATGTATTGACATAACAAATATGATTCTTCATGTTATTCCCATGCTGACCATATTAAAAGTGTAAATAATTCCTTTAAACTTTCTAACATCATAGTTATAATTTTTAAGTTAATGGATGCACTAACTTTCAAAATTATTACTTATAATTAACTTCTTGGTAATTATTATTATTTTAGCAGCATAATCATATTCAGTCACAGTAACTATATAATGTTTCTGATATACAAATAATTTGATATTCCCTTCAAATCAATTATTAAATAAGATTAATCCTTCACAGGTAATGGTGCTCATCTCCATTTTAATTGCATGCAGTATTTCAAATGTTAGATTCTAGTAGAGAACAATTAGAGGCTTAAGTAAAATTAGACATAAAATGTGATCCATAAGAAAACACCAAGTTATGAAAAAATGCCAGCATGTGTTTGAGAGAGCTATTTCCTTTCATGTAACTTATCACTTACAGCCATTCCGGCCGGAGTTCTCTGACCTGGACTACGCTGATGTGGATTATCGCTCATATGGACCTATAAACTACAAGATGGCCTCCATACAGGCAATAGAGCAGGAGAAGAAGAAGAATCTTAAGAATGAAAACCAACAGCAGCCATTGCACTCTTCTAACAACCACCTACCAGATCTGCTCTAAGCTTGCATTTATTTATTTTCCTTGCTATAATAGATATTAAAATGGAAATAGTAAATGATTACAAGCTTCAATGATCTTCCATCCAAACAACTCCAAGGCAGAAATGGCATGGGGAGATGCTATGAAACTACTGTCAAGATTCTTCTGTTTGTATGTACGTACATAATGCCAAAACAGGAATTAACTTGATACCACTAACCTGTGATTAACCAAAGAAAGTGCTAGTGTGATCCTTTCCTTGCTTTAAGCTATTCCTATTCCCATTTTTATCAGTTATACTAACAGCTGCTGAGACTACTGGTGGTGCTCCAAGTCAAGTGACTGCTGCAACTACTGACTCATGTGTCATGAGAATAATAACCAAATAAACAATTTGATATACTGACTTGGGTATATAAACACTAAACAATGATGTGCATATGTAAAAAGAACTATACCCAAATCATTTAGGTTGCGTTTTAATAAAGAAATTAGTTTTTTTAATAATATGTATAAACAACCTACTATATATAAGGGGAACCAGGAAATGTTCCTGTTATCAGAGATGTGTTAGTGTGTGTTAGAGTATGTGTTATGTGTGTATGCAGACAAGCCAAGTAAAAGTGTGTCTGATGTTTAGTGCACGGCTTCCACCAATGTTGCAGCACAAATGTCAGTTTCAGTTGGAAGTCGGCCAATATGATAAGGCCCCACTGAGTGTATATTTTCAGAATGTGATAACCAACACTGGATAGTCCAGCTTTTGTAAGTAATCAAAAAGATGAATATATGAGAATTTTTAATGTCCAGCATGAAAAGTGTCTGGGCATGGTACCAGGTTTCATAACATGCAGACGTGATCACCTGCCAGATTGTAGTATTTCTTATTGTGAACCTTCCCTTAAAACAAGTTTGCATATACCAACATAATTTTTTAATCTTGTATTTCAAAATGTTTTGAATCTTGCTTTTTATGTCAGAAGGTAACCTCACCATGTCTGAATTAAGAACCATGGTTCATGTCTGTATATCTCCCACATCACATGTTGTGTTGGATTTGTTAGACATTGTTGATGTTCTTTCCAATATATTGATACATTAAATGCACATTTTTATTGCGTATGTTTTATTATCATTGACATATGAAGATTACTGTCATCTTGGACTTGACACTGTGTAATTTGATAATACAGGTACCAACATTTCAGGGGATCCTGATGTCCCCATCTTTAAGGCTCTTCTGAACTGGAGTATGAGGCAACAGGTTCCTTTGAAATTGCTGTGCTTATCAACCAAACTAAATCACTCCACATCTCAGAAGGCAGTAATCTTCATAGTCACCACCATGAAAACTTCCAATCTTATATGGTGGTATATTAAATTCCCATTAGCTTCAGAAGGTCTAAATTGCAGACTTTTTATAAAAATTATTGTAGTTTGACATCATCATTACTGAATTGCTCTAATTCAGTCTTAAAATTCGCTTTGTCATTTTAACATTACAAAGGAAGTTTGTCAGTATTTTGTCTGTACTTAGAAAATGTTTCTATTTGAAACACTCTTTGGAATTAACTATTGAAGTAAGGCAACAGCTCTTCTCTGGTGTCATGGTAACTTCCGGTATTTTAGATATACCCTAATGTGTTACCTCCAACATCATTTTGTTGTTAGAACTCTGTCTGAAGTATGTTCCGTCCAGTTAGGCCATAGTTGGCATTAAGAGACACTAACTTATAAAAAGGGTATTTTTGTTAACTCTCTTTACCGGCATTAGGATTGGAATTCTGACTGGTGGGTAATCTGTCATGTACAGCTCCTGTGCAGACCTCGGTAGAGTTGACAGTTCATACTACAGTTATTTCCATCATAACATTTCTGTTCACATTGCCTAAATTTTGTGGTGCAACCAAAGATGTGGCCGCTATCTACAAGATATTATTGCTCAATCACAGCTGGTGAAGATATGTATATGGTTTAACTGCAATAATATCCAAAGTCCAAAGACCGAAATGAGTTGAAGTGCGTGTATTATAAAAGGTTGTGTGTAAATGTGAAAATTTGAAGAAAATTAATTATATTTTATGCATTAGTTACTATTTATTGTCTCTAAATTTATTACATTGCATTCTTTGTATCTAAGGAGTAAGGGATGATATCTGCAATTTGAGCCCTGTATTGGAGCTACATGTTGTAAAAAGAAACTGACTGCATCACTGCCAACTGCCATCTTCTCCACTGCTTTGGTTCCAAAACTAATGGGTGGGACACATGTAGGACATGTAAAAGTGGCTTAACATTAGTTTGAAATTATTTGTCTTTGAAGTTTTGCTTCAGCTCATACTAAAACATGTTTTATCACTGGTCTTGTCAAATTTTACTACCAGTTTTCTCAGTCTGTTCAAAATAAAGGAGGTACATCATTGTCATTGACAGTATTTTTTCCATAATTTGTATATGCTTCTGCAACATGAATTAAAGACTTTTTCTTTTAAACTTTGCTTCTCACAAAATTGTTGTAGCTTTGTGCTGAGTCATCAGTCTTCAATATAAATGTTCTGATTGCAGAGGAAGGGAATAATATTGAAAGCAACAAAGAAACAGAACATTAGTAATCAAATCTGGTCATATAACTAATGTGATATTGTATGCTTTTTTTTTTTGCAGTAGGTAAAGAAAATTTGTTTTCTTGACGTAATGGCAAATATTTCTATCATATTTCTTTCATATTTGCTCCATTATAAAAACAGTGACTGCATACCACCATGGAGTTTTATACTATGAAGCCTTTGTTTGTATTATACATTGTTATCTTCATTGAAATTACCTACATCATTGATATGTGTCAAATTTAGTGTGTGATATATTGATAAAATTCATAGACCTGTTGTACTATATGGATATTTAATAGAATATTATGACTGGGTGAAGCTGTGGAGCTATAGAATACAGAGTTTCATATTTGTAGTTTACTGAAGATTCTTGCCATAAATTCGTTTGATCTTGTGGGTGCAAAGGAAGAAAAAATCTTGTACATGAAACTTTGTTTGTATGTGAATGAAATGACATCAAAGTGACTAAACAAGAGCTGTGAATCCAAGAAACACTGATTCAGTATTACACAAGTTCAATCATTGCCCACTCATATAATCTCTGTATTTAGTACAGCTGGATCATTTTTCCCATCTCTGTACACAAGGAAATGGCAGGTATGTAACTGAGCATAAACCCTTGAATTTTCTAAACTGCATGAAGAAAATCACCAACAATAATTTTTAAATAGCGATATTATGAACTTTCATTTAATAATTATGGTAAATTACTTCCTTTTTGCATTCATGAAGAAGCTTTTCATAGGAAATTTGGCAGTTTTTATGACAGAGAGGAATGCAGGCCTATTTATAGGCAGTGTTCTTGTAGATCCAGTACTCTCCTTCCAGTTTGCATCTTATTATTCTTTAAAATTTGAAATTCTTTCTATCATACAGATATAGTTTTGTCGGTGAAATTCTGTGAATGAATAATTTCATTTTGCATACAATGCCAGAAATATTGAGGATGAATGTCTAAATCTTTAAGAAAATTATCTCTGAAGAAACACAAGTTTATTGGCTTCATTGTGTGGAATATTTTTTCTTTTAGATTGTCCATTATAATTTTGCATATGCTGTACTAAAAAACTCACTATTATAATCATCTATAGATTGGTAGAATAAGGGAATATTTCATTATACATCAACTTAAGGTAGAGAGACTTTAACCTTTGTAAGGTAAAAAAGAATAACCGCACATTTTAGCTGTGACTTTGTGAGGTTCTTTATGACAGTCTGTGTCAGATAAGAAGGGAAATTATTGAGGAACTTCAGTGTAGCCAGTGTAAATCTAGACACTAATATCAAAAGCAGAAAGTTCCTGTTTCTTGAATTATTAGATCATATTTATTCAAAATCTTGCCATAGTTTAAAATTATAGAGAAACGGAATTGTTATTATTTCTCTCCAGTTTTCTCATGTGTTGGGATTATTTGTAGTTACAGACAGGCTTACCTAGAGGAAGGGCACACATGGGAGGAACATTTAATGGTATGAATAACTACATGTTATGTTACCACTGCCATGAATGGTTCAGTAGAAAATAAGTAAGATACCAGACAGTATGAAAATTAAAGTTAAAAACTAAATTTCTCCATTATAACATGTTATTGTTTTTAACTTTCTTGAACCATAGGGAATTATTTATATGATCAACAGAATATGAATAAATCTGAGGAGTATTAGTTTTGGTTGCAGAAAACTTGCATGTACATTAAAGTTTCTTGTACACTAAAACGTAAAAATTGTATTAATATTGTTATTCGGGAACAAGAAATGATTGTACATATTTGAATATTTTGGTTTACAAACAATCACAGATAAGGTTTGGTAACATTAAATATTAGCAGAGCTGAACATTTGAGCGGCATAATTATATCTGCTTTTGAAAATATAGGAAGAAATTTACCAATACAGGAATACACATAAACATTGAATAGGAAAGGACAGACTGAAATTTTCTTAAGTAATTCAGGCTTCATAACAGACCAGGAAGATTAATAAAATTAACCTTTAGTACAGAAACGAAATTCCAGCCCTCACCTTATGTAACTATCCAAATCATTTTAATTGATAGCAATTCCTCTTTGTTCATAAATTCACATAGAAGACATTGCAAAGAACATTATCTTAAACGTAACAGTGTTTAGGAATTCATTTGGAAAGTACAGAGTGGGCCAGACTCAATTAGGCAGTTTTTGATTAGATGTTATTTTTATTGATAAATGTTAACAATTGCAATGGTTACAAAAATGGAATTGCACACACATAAGTCATTGATTTTCAAGATGCTGGTCAACCTGGGCACCACCTAAGTCAACACAGGCTTGCAGATGCAAAGCAACATTTTCACACGCCTTTCTACACATATTCACCGGAACTTTATTGAACTCCTGAACAATCACCTTACGCAAATGTTTCACACTGTCAATGGGATTAGCATACACCTTGTCTTTGAGGTAACCCCAAAGGAAAAAGTCTGGTGGGGTGATGTCGGGTGATCGGGCTGGCCACTCCACAGGCCCTCGATGGCCAATCCAGCGTTGAGGAAAAACTTGATGCAAGAACGCCCAAACAATATTGGCGAGGTGTGGTGGGGCCCCCTCTTGCTGCCACCACAGTTCATCAAAGTTCTCTCTCCTCTGAAGTTCTGGGATGACACTTTCCCTCAGCAACTTTAGGTAGGTTTCCCCCATGACGCAACCTTCAAGGAAGAACAGGTCAATCAGTCCTTCGCCCGTCACGCCGCCCCACACCATCACTCCCGGGGACTGGAAATCGTATTCAATGGTGGCACTGTGGTTCTCTGGCTGCCAAAACACGCAGTTATGTTTGTTGACCAATCCTGATGTGTGAAATTTGGCCTCATCAGTCCAGACAATATTCCGGATAAGGTCAGGGTTCTCCTGAAACTTGGTCAGCATCAACTCGGTGAACTCAAGTCGCCTGTCGAAGTCGTCCTCGTTAAGAACATGAATAAGCCGTGGATGGTATGGCGTCAGCTTCATGTCACTCAAAACTCTCCGCAAACTTGTCCTCGAAATGTCCAGTAGGGCCGACAAACAGCGGGTAGACTTCGATTTCTGAGGAGATGATGCCAGTTCCGCAGCAACACGTGCTTGTGTGTCAGCAGTTCGGACAGTTCTCGGCTGACCAGGATGCTTGGGATTCAAAGCACTGGCAATTTCATAAAACTGCTTGTTTATTCGGGCGATTGTGTCCCTGTGGACTGCTGGCTGTCCAAACTCTTCCAACATCCTGCGCTGGACTTCTGATACATTGTTGGTAACTGAGAAAAGGTGCACACATTTTACACGCTGCTCGATAGACAGCCGTCTATTGGCCATGACGTTTCCTTGATGCGCACTAAGTAGGCAGAGTATTGACCTCGTTCACAGCATACCGTATGATGCTGCCATCTATCGACAACAAAAGGTACTTTCCCATTATCCCGTGTGTTGTTGGATTGGTTACTTATTAATGATCAAAAACTGCCTAATTGAGTCTGGACCATCCTGTAGTCTGTTTAGCCATGATACCAAAAGGTACAATATTTCAGAGCCTAGGAAGTGGAGTAAACTCCTGGTTATCTTGTATCCGAACACCCAGAATTCTCATCTAACTAGCAAAGAAAATTTACCATATTTGTAAAGTTATTAGTTCACTTGCAGACTAAATCCACAGAGTTTATTAAAAAATTTGTGATGTGCATATGTTCACCTACAGCACTATAGTTTCCCCAGTTACTACTAGCAGCACTACCCATCATCCTCCCTCACAAAGGTGCCATTACAGTTAAGGCTAACTGAATTTGCGATTGTGTTAATGTATGTGCATCCAAAATCTTTCACCCGTCTATCTGCTCTTTCGCCTAGGAAGACTACAATGCAGTAACTAAAGTAAAAACATTTTTTATTGGGTTTCTGCAATAGTATTTCTCATGAAATCAGCACACCTTATTCCTCATACATGCTGAATAACAGGAAGCTTGTTCTACCAAGTTTTACCATGATAATTTTTCTCACTATTATCTCATCAACATAATTATCTTGACTAATACAAGCAGTTACTTCATGATAAATATTCTAGTTCTTTGTGTCTCTCTAAACAAACTGTGCATAGATATTGGACAGCATTACTCCACAAACATTCAAAGCATTTGTTACAATGAATGTGTATAAGACTTGCAACAAAATGGATTTGATACAAATACTGCCTTCCTCATGTGCATTTCTGTTTAGATAATAGCTGTGTATCTATTACTACAGAATTATCAAATCAAAGAGCTCAGGAAGGATGGGGTATGTAGTATGCATAGAAGAGAAATGCACATCAAATTTTAGCCAGACAACTTGAAAGGATAGCTTGGGAAATGTACTCATAGATGGGAGATGAAATATTGAAATTACTGTTAGAGTATCAGGGCGTGAACTGAAGAAGATATGTGATAGTGGCAGGATCTTGTAGGCACAGTAACAGGCCTTGTGTTTCCATGAAAGACAGGAATTTTTTTTGAGAGCTTCATGAATATTAGTACATCAAGAGGCACTGTGTTTCATCTAGTTAGTTTGTTGGCTGTTGGATATGAGAGTCACAGAGCAGTGACTGTCAAGAGCTCTATCTTCTAGGATATAGCTCATTGGAGGTCAATCAGTA